AGTTTCCACTGTTCATGCTCTAACCCTAACACTTAGCAACAGTCAACCATTTGGGTTGAGGTATAATAATTGCTTGCTGTACCAATTACTCCTGAAGAATATGCACATACAGTAAAAATAATCCCCAATATAGGAAAGTACATCCTATATAAAAACCAGAAGAGGAAAAAAAACAAAAAAAAGGAGTTAGTTAGAAATTGCTATAATGCAGACGCCTACTATAAACTTTGTCAGTTGTCAGCTACTAGTGCATTCCAACATTTAATTACCTTCTTACTCATGAATTTTTAAAATGTTAAAATAAAAGATTTTTAACTTAATTGCAGACACTGTAATTAGAATCTTTAATTATAATTTAGATCTACAACTTTCTTTGGACAATTACACTCCTTAATGATTCTGAAATATCCGTGTGTGTGTGTGTGTGTGTGTGTATGTGTGTGTGTGTGTGTGTGTGTGTGTGCGCGCGTGTGCACGCGCGTTCCTTTGTTTCTTAATTCTTTTTGCTATGTTGCTTTTTCCTCTCAGGCTAATGCCACAACAAATTTGCATCACTGACCTGAACAGGAGAAGTTAGGGGTGTAGATTTTGCTACTGAACAGAAATAAAAGTGCACAGAAGTGAGAGTACACTGCACAGAAATAAGAATGTATCAACTAAGCAATTAGAAGTGAGCTTAAATGTATCCTTTTTTTTCCTCATTAACAACTTGCTTCTATAAGGCATTAGTTAGATACCTCCATATTCTCTTTCACTTGTAAGTAATAATACAGGTGTGATTTCACTTCCCATCAGGATCATATTTCTATTTAGATTGTCACAGGCAACAGTCTATACTGAACCAATTCAAACTTTTACTTATTATTTATCTTACTTTCCTGAAAAAGTATAATCAAGATTAAAAGCAATTCTTTTGGTCATAATGAAAATCATTTATCTTTGTAAAAAGTTTAAATCAAGTTCCATCTTCCCTAGTAGACTTACATTGCAAGTATGTGAGTGCAAGCCTGTATGTATGTGTGTTCCTTGGTGTAAATATGTTTTTCCTCATTCATCTTCCCCAGTTTCAACTTTCTTCTCTAGATTTAGACAATATCAAATAGAAGCTATTAAGTAACCAAATTATCTCCTGGTCCTCACTCTGCATCCTCCCTACATCACACATAATTACATATACTAATGATCCTGCATATTTGCCTCACAACTCCAAATCCTCTCTCCTTTACCTTTCTTTGTGATACAGGAGTTGAATCTGTCAACATTACTCCTTTCCAGCACATGCAATGTCCAGCTTTGTCAACAGAAGGTTGCTGAAGGGTTATTCCATCATCATATCAAGGGAAGGGTGCTTCTCTTTCTAGTTCTCTTCTTGGGTCAGGTCCACTCTATTTGCACAATTGCAAAGAATTGGCATGCTTTGAGTTTTAGTCACTAGGCAGGGTATTCCTAGACACCCAATTCAGCAGGTATGCTCACACTCCTCACCAACAGCAGCTGCACATTCCTGTTACTGTGGTACCCTCTGGACCAAATTCACTAGCCTTGGGGGAAACTGCTCTCTCCCAAGAACCTTGTTCAAACCTTGATTCATGATGCTGCAACCCAGAAGTGGATGCTGCTTATGTATTTTGTAATTCTGTATTGCTTCTTATTCATTTATTTTTACTTTTGTGGTAATAGGGATTGAACTCAGGGGCACTTTATCACTGAGTTACATTCCCAACATTTTTTAAATTTATTTTGAGATGCGGTCTCACTAAATTGCCCAGGGTGGGCTGGAACCTTGCAATTCTCCTCCCTCAGTGACACAAATTACTGGGATTAAGTGAATGTGCCACCACACCTGGCTATTTCTTCTTTTATTGAGTCTTCTTTTAATCTTTTCACATTTAACCATCTGTTACTAGTTAATGATTCTTTATTTTGGATTTTCTCTGTTCAAATTCCTGTTGTAGATTCTATTCTCTACATGGGCCCTAATGATAAAGTCCATACACATTTGTGCTTTTGAGAGCATCTTGCTCCAAAACCATAATTGGTAAAACAGAGAAAACAAGGTGAACAAAGATGGAAATGAAGTAGGAAATCTGACATGACCAAAGAAATTTTACAGGAGTGTTTCACAGCAGATACAACTCTTGTATCACAAAGAAAGGGAAATGTATCATTAGGGGAAATGTCTAGGGCCTTCAAACCTTTTAAGAACTAGGTTGATTTTGAGTATGTATTTCATTTTGAAGAATATTTCCTTATATAGGTACACACACACACACACACACACACACACACACACACACACACACTGCTTGCACTCCAATATATGTATTCCAAAATATACAAAGAAAACTAAAAAAAATCAAAACAATTGATTTATTTTAATGTTATCAACTGCCATTCCACTCAACATAATTAATATATAATTAGGAGAGTGAGCATACTGAAATGCTTACTATATTTATATTTGTTTTAAGGACCCCAAAATGATGAAGTGCATTATGAGCCTATTAAGATTTTTTAAAGTTTGGGGTTCAATCCACTGATGAGATCAAAGTATCTTGAATTAAATTCATATAAGAAGTTACTTTAAGTTTGTTCTGCTGCCAATAATACCATACCTAACACCAGCTATAAATCTTCAAATGTGTATTAGTGGTTCCAAAATAAGATCAAAACAAAGAAAGTTAGAGGATTAGTCTAATGCATTATCACTTATAATAGGGAAAAATGTTTCTATTCCTTTTGCCAAAAATATGTGATCTGAATTTTTCTAAAATCCTTAAATACCAAACATGTCTTGTTAGATGTGTATATGTTTATTTGTTTATATTTTAGGTAAAATGATTCACTTTGTGAATAAAAAATAATCAATGCAGTAACTGTTACCAGTAATATTCACAACACACACAAAAATCTACAACATTGTAAACTTAACTGATATTTTAAGATATTTTATCATCTGCCTTTCTGTTTTAGCTAACAATGAGACACCAACATTAACCACATAAGTGTCATATTTATATAATATTCTGATAATTTTTCAATGTAGTGTTTGATAAAACTTTGAATCTTCACACCTATACTCACTGTATCTTTAATATTTGGAAGCATTTGTAAGATTGATTTATAGCCAACTAATAAAATTTGGAATACATGTGGTTGCTTAATATGTCTTTGTCATCATTCCAAGGTCCTATCCACTTAAACCGACCTATGGAAAAGTGCAGATTAATATTTCAGGTCAGGGGCCAGGTGTGTAGCTCAGTAACAGAGCACTTGACAAGCATGGAAAATTTTTTTTAAAAAGGGAAAAAATTCTCAAGTCAAAATGTAAAATAAGGCAACAGAGAGGGGAAGGTCATGTTGAACAGGGTTTTGTTGGTTTAGGTTTTTTCCCTGGTGTTTCAGAAGAGTGCCGAAGACCCAGAATTGTGGTAAAAGGGCGTGTGGGGGAGCTTAAATCTTCACATCCTAAATTTGGAACAATTTCAAATACCTGACAGTGTTGGTTATCCTCCACCTCCTCAAAAGTGAGGATCACCCCTCTACCAATAGCACCTCACATTTCAGACACAGAGCTCCATTTAAGAAAAGAATTGTGACATCAGATAGTGAGTGATTCTGATGGAAGAAGCAAATTTTTTAATGATCAAAGTGGCTTTTCTGCTCTCTAATGGAAAGGCAGGAATTTCTGATAAATTGACTAATAATATTGATGAGTATCTGCACAAAAGAAAACAAAAAAGAAAATCTTCCACTTTTTATTTTCTTTATCTAGATGGAAAATACTCAAACTTGTCAACTTTCCCCCTCAGTTATCAGAGAGAGGGAAGAAATTGGGGAGAAATGATACAGTGGGTGATGGCTGGGTTAAAAAGTGACAAGGACATCTCCTTTCATTCTCATTCCCTGGATCATAAGGAAAATGGTTCCTAAAGAAGCACTGGGCCCCACAGTGAAGGATCCCAGAGGTGTGAACGAATTTGTGAGCCACAAGCTTGCCAGGGAGAAGCATAGAACAAGAGACAGGTGTATCAGGGGAATGCAAAGGCAAGCAGGTGCCAGCCATGAGATGTAGCACAATCTAACAACAAGGTACCAACGAACGAAATATTATTTCAACAAAATTTCTGTTAAATAGCACTATAGGTAACAGTAGAAATGGCAAACTGGTTATTGAAATTGCATCCATAATTGGTAAGTTATCTTGAATGATCCCTAGTTCACCAGTTTCTAACACTCTAGACCAAAGTCCCCCTCCTATCAATTTTATTATAAATAAAAATAAGTAAAGGCCAGTAACATAGACTCCAGAAACTAGAATAGCAACTTCTAGTTTCTTCTGGATTGATTTACATGTGCCTACTATGTATATAGATTGTATGACAGGCACTCACCTAGCTCAGTGCCCACTGCAACTTTTTCTTGTATATCACTGACCATGATCACATCCTCTAAGAAGCAATTTTCTGTGAAGTTGTACAGATTCACAAAACTGCAAGCACTTGCCTTCATAGTAGAAAACTATTCTCAGGAATATGATTTTTTTAAAAAGTAATTGTTTACCACACAGTATCTAGGTGGACAAACTTTGAAAATAAGAGAGAGAGAGAGAGAGAGAGAGAGAGAGAGAGAGAGAGAGAGAGAGAGAGAGAGAGAGAGAGAGAGAGAGAG